GCGTCCTGTCGCTCGACGACGACGACCTCCGTCGCGTTCACGGGGTCGTCGGGCCCGTCGCCCTGGAGCTCCGGCGCCGCGAGCACGCCCTCGGCGGCCATCTGCACGGCGAGGGGCGACGCCTCGAAGGCCTCCGTGTCGAGGCCGGACGCGCCGGACGACACGACGAGCGTCGCGAACGTGAAGGGCCCGCCCGCCGCGCCCGCGCGCCGCATGGCCTCGGCCTGGAGCGCCGCCGCGGACGCGACCTCGCGCGCCGAGAGGACGAAGGACGTCGCGCCGGCGTCGCGGGCCGCGCGGAAGAACGCGCAGCCGACGGCCTCGAGGCCTACGAAGCAGGATGGTCACGATTTCTCATTGGTTTCCCACACCACATCTCTCGAAAATCACGGGACGCCGCTCGACGCCCAGCGCGGCCGCGACCGAGAAGACCGCGTCGTCGTCGGCGCCCGCCTCGTGGAGCGCCTCGACGTGCACCGTGCCGTTGTTGCGGCCGGTTCCGCGGCGGCCCAGCAGCCAGGCGCGCGCGGGCCCGCCGGCGCCGCCGAGCGCCGCGAACGTCTCGACGGCGTCGGCGCCGAGCTTGGCCGCCTCGCAGACGCGGTCGAAGGACTTGACGTAGAAGACGGTCTCGCGCTCCTTGACGAGCGCCTTCCACGTCTTCGCGTTGGCGTGCGTGTTCGTCCGCTCGCGCCTCGTGCCGCCGTGCTTCGCGAGCGCGGGGTACGGCGAGAAGAACGGCGCCGCGCGCCCCGCCTCGGGCGGCGCCCGCGCGGCGCAGGCCTCGCGCGGCGCGTAGACGACGGAGCCGTGGACGACGTCGAGCTCCGCCAGGGTCGCGTCGTCGTCGGCGGGCTCCGTGCAGGCCTCGTCGAGGAAGAGCGCGCTCGTGTCCGTCTGCTGCTTGAGGTCGCGAAGCGTCGGCGCGTCGTCGCCGTCAAAGGCCACGCGGCGCAGGGCGCCGCTCGCGAGCCGCACGCGCACGACCATCTTGTTGGGATTGCATGTCGCTCGCGGGAGCAGGAGTGCGGCGGCGAGCAACAGCGCACGGATCGGCACCATGCTCGATTCTCGCAGCAACGAGATGCAACATCGACCTTTTGGCCGGCGCCAAGGCAATGGCCGCGCGTCGAGCAGGTTGTTGACCGATCGTCACCCGCGAGAGACCGCTCACAAGACAGATGGAGGACCACCGCTTCGAGCTCGGCGGCGCCCTGCTCTCGGCGTTGATCCTCGAAGCCATGAACAACACAAAGCAAACACCCCTCTTCGGCCTCCTCTTCGGCGCGTCGCGCGTCCGCGCGGTCGAGCGCGTGAGCGACGAGGACGAGCTGCGGTCCGCTAGCGAGCGCGTGACGACGGCGCTGCGCTTCGCGACGGCGCGCGCGCCGCTCTTCGACGCCGCGGGCGCGGCCGACGCCGCGGCCGTCGCTTCGGCCGCCGCGGGCGCGACGGTCGTGGGCCTCTGGGTGTCGCGGCCGGGCTTCGGCCCGACGCCGTCCCTGCGCGACGCCGCCGCGCTCGGCTCGCTGCGCGCCGCGCTCGACGCGCCGCACCTCGTCCTGTTCGGCGTCTCCGTCGCCGCGGCGGACGCGTCCGTGAGCTACCGGTGCGTCGCGGCGCGCCCCGGGTCGCGGGACCTGCGGGTCGTGCCCGCCGTCGTGCGGTCGCTCGAGCACGACTCGCGCGCGGACTACGCGCTCTTCGACGGCGCCGCGCTCGACGACGGCGACGCGCCCGCGCCGGAGGTCGACGTCGCCGCGGCGCCCGCGGCGCGCGCGTTCGCGGCGGCGCGCGGGCGGCTCGACGCGCTCGTCGGCGAGGTGGGCGACCTGGAGGCCGAGGTCGTCGCCCTCGAGCGGGAGAACGCGGACCTCGAGGCGTCGCTCGACGAGCGCGACGCCGCGCGCGACGCGGAGCGCGAGCGCGACGCGGAGGCCGCGCGCGCCGCGGCGGCGGCGCGGGAGCGCGAGGCCGAGGAGGCGCGCGTCGCGGCGGCCCAGGCGCTCGTCGAAGCGGAGCAGGCGCTCGTCGCGGCGGAGCAGGCGCGCCTCGACGCGGCGCCTCCGGAGCTCCTCGTGCCCGCGGCGGTCGCGGCCGACGTCGACCTTTTGACGCTCGCGGACGGGCCCGCGCCGCCGCCGGCGGCCCTGGACCTCCTGGACCTGCCGGCGGTGCTGCCGCCGCCGGCCCCGGACCTCCTGGACCTCGCGGCGGCGCCGCCGCCCGGGGCGTCGGACCTCGCGGCGCCGCCCGAGCCCGCGCCGGCGGCGGCGCTCGACCTCCTGTCGCCCGAGGTCCCGTCGTAACACGCGGTAATTTGAAGTGCAATATGATTCACAACTCCATCAAGCTTGTTTACGTCGCGGGGCTCCCGCCGGCGCAGCAGACCGTCTTCTCGCGCGGGGGCAGGGGCGGCCCCGCGCGCTCGAAGGCGAGGAGCTGGGCCTCGAGGTCGCCGATGGTCTTCGCGTGCGCGTCCTGCTGGTCCTTCATGGCGCGCTCGAAGGACGCCTCGGCCTCGACGAAGGCCGCCTCGCGCTCCTTGAGGATCTTGTCGAAGGCCGCCGTGAGCTCCTCCTCGCGCGCGCGCAGCGCGGAGAAGAGGTTGCCGTCGTGGCGCTTCGCCTGGATCGTCAGCGCGGCCTCGCGCGCCTCCTCCTGGAACGCGTGCTGGCGCGCGACGGTGTCCCGATGCTCCGCGGCGGCCGCGGCGGCGAGCCGCGCGTGGGCCGCCGCGGCGTCGGCGACGGCGCCGGCGTGGCGCGCGTCGAGCGCGTCGACCGCGGCCGCGTGGAGCGTCGCGAGCTCGGCCTCGCGCGCCTCGAGGGCCGCGAAGACCGCGCCGTCGGACTTGCGGCCCATCTCCGCGCGCGCGGCGTCGAGCTCGCTCCGCCGGTCCGCCTCGGCGGCCTCCGTGTGCTCCTTGAGCGACACCTCGTGGAGCAGGAGCAGCGAGTCGAGCTCCTCCTCCTGGAGCCTGGCGCTCTCCGCGAGCGCCGCCGCGTGCGCGCCGTCGCGGCTCGAGAGCTCGTTCGCGTGGTGCGCCTTTAACCGCTTCTCGAGCGCCGCGAGCCGCCGCCCGTAGCCCTCCTCGCGCTCCTGCTCCGACGCCGCGAGCGTCCGCGCCGCGGCGGCCTCGGCGTCGGCGAGGGCCTTCTCGCGGGCCGCGTCTTTTGATGTTGCCAGCGTCGCGAGCGCGGCCTCGTGCGCCCGCTTCAGCGCGTCCTCGGCCTTCGCGGCGGCGGCGAGCTCCTCGTCCTTCGACGTCGTCAGCGTCGCGACGGCGGCCTCGTGCGCTTGTTTCAGCGCGTCCTCGGCCTTCGCCGCGGCGGCGAGCTCCTCGTCCTTGGACGACGTCAGCGTCGCGAGCGCGGCCTCGTGCGACCGCCGGAGGTCGTCGACGGCCGCGGCGTGCGACGCCGCGCGCTCGTCCTTGGACGCGGCGGCGGCGGCGATGACCTCGTCCTTGGACGCCGCGAGGGACGCGAGCGCCCGGTCGTGCTCCGCGCGGAGCGCCGCCGCGGCGTCGGCCGCGGCGTCGAGCTCCGCGGCCTTGGACGCGGACAGCGCGTCCATCGCCGCCTCGTGCTGCTCCTGGAGCGCCCTCTTCGACGTCGCGGCCGCGTAGAGCTCGTCGTCCTTCTGCTTCGCCAGCGCCTCGACGGCCGCGTCGTGGTCCTCGCGGAACGCGCGCGCGGCCGCGCGGACCTCCGCGACCTCGGCGTCCTTCTCCTCGCGGACGGCGGCGACGGCGGCGGCCTGGGCCGACGCCGCGGACGCCCGCGCGAGCGCGTCGGTCTCGCGCGCGGCGGCGGCGGCGTCGGCGAGGGCCGCGGCCGCGGCCTTGAGCTCCGCGACGTCGTCCTTGTGCCTCCGCAGCAGGAGCGCCTCGCCCGCGTCGCGCGCGGCGTCCGCCTCCTTCCGCGCCGCGCGGACGGCCGTCGCCGTCGCCTCCGCGGCGCCCCGCTCGGCGGATCTGCGGCCCGCGTCGGCCTCGGCCATGAGCCGCGCGGTCAAATCGTCGAGCGCGCGCTCGTGGGCCGCGGCCGTCGCCGCGGCCGCGTCCGCGGTCGCCTTCGCCGCGGCCGCGAGCGCCCGCTCCTGCTCCCGCGCCGCCCGCGCCTCCAGCGCCTGCGTCGCCGCGGCGTGGGCGGCGTCCTTGGACCGGAGCGCCTCGGCGAGGGCCTCGGCGTGCTCCTTCTTGAGCGTCTCCGCGGCGACGAACGCGTCCATGCCCGCGGCGTCGAGCGCGGCCTCGTGGCGGTCCTCGAGCGCGCGCGCGGCCTCGGCGTGCCTGCGCTCGAGGCGCGCCTCGAGCGCGAGGCGCGCCGTCGCGGCGGAGGGCGAAGCCGGCGCGTCGCCGACGACCTCGGGCGCCGACACCTCCTCGGGCGCGTCCGCGTCGACGAGCTCGCGCAGCACCGCCGCGTGCGCGGCGTCGACGGCCGGCTGGAGCGCGGACACGTAGGTCAGGCAGGCGTTGCCGTCGGCGACGTCGCCCGGCGCCAGGAGGCGAGGCACGCCGTAGGCGTCGCTCGCGCGGTCGAAGGCCGTGGCGCAGTCGCGCGGTCCGTCGCCGGTCGGGTCGTAGGCGTGCCTCCGGGGGTCGCACGCGTGCAAAATCGCCAGGAAGACGCGGCCGTCGCCCAGGGCGTCCGTCGTCGCGAGCCGCGGCCTGGGCAGGATAAGGGTGATTCAACGTCGCTTCAATGTGAGTGTTCCGCGCGCGCGCGTCCCGGAAAAGGCATCCACGCTTCGAGAGCGTTCCGAGAGATGATCGCTCGTCCAAAAATCAGCCGAAACGAGTGAAAAACGGCCGAGATATCAGGCTTTGAAGTTTGGAATTTCGCTCTCTTGTCCTGCCCTGGCCGCGGCAGGTCGTCGAAGCCCTCGACGAGCTCCTGGGCCCAGTCGAGCAGCGCGCGGCGGACGACGCGCGCGGCGCCGTCGACGTCCCGCTTCAGGCGCGCCGCGAGGCCCCGCGCGGCCGTCGCGCAGACGAGGCCCCAGACGAGCGCGAGGATGAGGTCCGGCTTGCCGTCGTAGACGTCGCGGACGCCGATGTTCACGACCTTCACGCCCGCCTTGTCGATGGCCTTGAACGCCATCGACAGGTTGCCCATGTGGTAGACCTCGCCACGCCGCCGGTCCGGACCGCCGCGCGAGAAGGGGTCCATGCCCAGGGCCTTGAGCAGCGCGCAGAGCACGACGCCGTCCCGGAGCTCGCCGTAGAGGTCCTCGACGACGGCCTCGCCGGACCCGTCGGCGCCGAGGCGGTTGTTCACCCAGCGCGTGAAGACGGCCTTCTGGATGTCGCGGTTCACGACCATGCTCCGTCGCCGCGCGCCCAAGGACGCGGGCTTCGCGGCGTCGCCCATGCCGGGCAGCCGCACGGGCGGCTCGACGTTCTCCGCCATGGTCGAGCGGCCGGCGACGATCTCCGCGTCGATCGAGACGGGCAGCCCACGTCGACGAGCTTGACGGAGCGGCCGGCGACGATCTCCGCGTCGATCGAGACGGGCAGCCCACGTCGACGAGCTTGATTTCAAGTGAAAAAGACTCATGGTGCGCGGCAACGAGTTCAGCTTCTCCTTCAACGGTTTCGTGCGGAGCTCCGGAGCGGGATCGATCTATCCAGATCTGATCGATCTCGGTCTGTTGGCTGCTGCGCCGGCTCGATCACGCGACGTTCGCGATCTGAACACGACGTTCGCGCGATCTGAACACACACTACCAATGACCGCGCTGTTGTCTGGCGTCGACCTCGCGCGCGCCGTGCTCAAGGCGAAGGACCGCTACGAGCTTCTGTCGCTCGGCTCGAGCGAACCCATCCGCGTCGGGGACGATGGCTTCCTCAACGTCGAAGACGAGGACGTGCGCCGCGTCTACATCAAGATGAGCGTCAAGATCCACCCGGACAAGCTGCGCGAGTTCCCGGAGGCGACGAAGGCGTTCCAGGCGCTCGTCCGCGCGTACGAGCTCTGCTGTAAACCCGACCTGCGCGAGGACGAGAGCGACGACTCGCGCTCCGGCGGCGACGAGAGCGACGAGGAGGAGGAGGAGGAGGCCAGCGACGACGAGAGTGACGACGACGACGAGGCCGCCGCGGAGGAGGCCGCCGCGCCGGCGGCGCCGCGGGCGCGCGCCAAGGCGCCGACGAGCTACGCCGAGGTGGACTCCGACGAGGACCTCGACGAGGACTCGGACGAGGACGAGGCGCCGAAGAAGCGCGCGCCGAAGCGAGCCCCGAAAGCGAAGGCGGGGAAGCAGCCCCCGCGGAAGAAGAAGCCGCCGACGGCGAAGAAGAAGAAGGCGCCGCGGCAGCGGCGGCGGCGGTCGACCGCGGCGAACACGCGCGGCGACGCGGCGGAGCGGCGCACGGGCGTGTCGTGCCCGCGGTGCTCGAGCGGCTGGGGCGACCACCTCCGCGGCGAGGGCCAGGAGGGCCTCTACACGGAGTTCATGCGTGGCGCGCGCCGGGTGTCGTGCACGTCGTGCCTCTTCGAGTTCGGCTGCCTCTCCGCGGGCCACGCGTGCCCGGACTGCGGCGCGCCCTTCGAGTACCGGCCCCAGCGCTTCGACGCGGCCTTCGTCTGCTCGCGCAAGAGCTGCGGCGCGACGTTCTCCGTCGCGCGCTTCGCGCTGTCGCGCGCGGCCAAGGCCGGCGAGGCGGACCGCGAGGCCGACGAGTCGCGGAAGCGCAAGGCCGAGGCGGCGTCGCGCGCGCGCGCCGAGCGCGCGGAGAAGCTGCGCGACGACGACGACGACGAGGCCGCGCTGCTCGAGCTCGGCGCGTTCATCGTCTCCGAGGAGTGCCCGCGCTGCGGCAAGCTCTTCACGTCGGGCCACAAGAAGCACCTGGCGACGTGCTCCGTCGCGACGAAGCCCGCGGGCAAGCTCAAGGGCGCGTGGCTCGTCGGCTCGACGTCGTCCCGCGACGGCGACTACGTCGCCAAGCCGCGGAAGCCCGCGGCGAAGAAGAAGAAGAGCCCGGCGGCGAAGCCCGCGGCGGCGCGCCCGGCGGCGAAGCGGCCGAAGAAGAAGGCCGCGGCGAAGCGACCGAAGAAGGCCGCGGACTCGGACGAGTCCGACGACGACTTCCTCGCGTCGGACTCGGACTTTGACGCCGCGCCGCGCAAGAAGCGGCCCAAGAAGGCCGCAAAGGCCGCGAAGCCCAAGGCCTCGAAGCCCAAGGCCTCGAAGCCCAAGGCCGCGAAGCCCAAGGCCGCGAAGGCGCCCGTGAAGAAGAAGATCAAGAAGTCGGACTGGTCCGACTCCGACTCGTCCTTCGCCGACTACTGATCGCGGGGACCCCGAGACCTAAGACGCGCCCGCGCACCTAGCGCCGCTTGCACTTCTCGCGCGTGTCGAGGCGCACGAGCTCGGCGGGGACGAGGTCGCCCGCCGGCGCGGTCCCCGGCGGCAGGGCCTCGATGGTGACGACGCCGTCGAGGCTCTTGGGCAGGAGCCGCTCCAGCGTCTTCAGCGCGCCCGGGTCGACGGCCGCGTAGCACGCGTCGACGTCCAGGAACACGTCGCCGACCCGGTCGAGCGCGACGCCGAGGTCGTCGAAGACGTTGTACAGCGCGACGTCGCGGAGCCCGTCCGCGGAGATGCGCAGGAGCGTCGCGTAGGCGCCCGCGTCCGTCGCGTCGGCGAGCTCCGGGTGCGTGAAGACGATCCGCGCGCGGCGCGCGCCGTCGTAGGCGCCGGCGACGACGGCGCCCACGTCGCCGCGCGCGTCGAGGCGCTCGGCCACGTCGGCGGCGAGCGCTTCGTCGAGGAAGGCCGTCGCCGTCTCGTCCCAGGCCTCGGCCGCGGCCACGGCCTGCTGCTCGAGGTCGTCCGCGGCGCCGCGCAGAATCATGTGGAGCGATGATGCGCGCGAGCGCTGGAACGCTGCGGCACTCCCGAGCACGCACAGCAAAACCGTAGGTGATCTCATGCCAATGGTTCAACGATTCGGTGCTCGAACGACGATGCGACGACGGTGGGACTTGGCGGGCGTCGAGGGTTATTGCTCGTCGAAGCAGTGCATTGAGATGTTCAACAACTGTACGTTTCCTTCTCGTTTCCCCTGCGACAACGCGCTGGGCAGCCCATTTGCGGCCCATCATGGACAAGATCACGACGGCCGAGTGCAACCGCGTCGTGGCGATCTTGGAGGACTCCGTGGAGCGGTTGATGCTCCTGAGCTACGTGCCCGAGGGCGCCCACGAGGCCATCCTCGGCGAGCTCGAGGCCGGGCCCTACGAGCTCTTCAGCCGCCACTGGGACCTCGAGAAGCGCCACGGCGGCGGCGAGCCCGTGGGCCGGGACCTCACGGAGAGCAGTCGGTCCATCTGCCGGACCCTGCGCGACTCGCCCAAGACCTTCGGCGTGCTCCAGCGCTACAGCGTCGCGCGGCCCGAGGCGGGGCTCCGGTTCATCGGGCACCTGCTCGACCTCAAGACCATGTTCGGCCGCAAGCTCGCGCGGACCAACGAGGACGAGGAGCGCTACCAGGACAGCATCGCGAGCGCCCAGCTCCGCACGAAGGCCGCCGAGGACAACCGCGCGGCCATGGAGCGGTGCATGGCGTCCGCCGCGACGTCCAAAGCGCGCGAGCTCGAGGCGGCGAGCCGCGTCTTCGGCGACGTCAAGGCCGAGTGCCTCAAGTACGAGAGCGAGAACGAGGCCACGCGGGGCTCCTTCGAGAGCGAGACGGCCCTGCGCCTCGGCGAGATCTCCGGCGCGCACGAGAAGCTCGTCGGCGAGGCGTCGCGGCGCGAGGGCGAGCTCCGCGCCGCGCTCGACGACGCGCTCCAGCGCGGCGTCGACGAGGAGCTCGTCTGCCGGCGGAAGCGCAACAAGCTCGAGAGCGAGCTCCAGGAGGCCATGGCGCGCTACGACGAGCGCATGCTCGAGATGAGCGAGCGCATCGCCGAGCTCCGGGGCAAGTACGAGGCCGAGCGCGCGGAGTTCGAGGAGCTCCGCGAGTACTTCGACATGATGGACAAGGACAAGGCCATCGAGGACGAGGAGGAGGCCGTCATCGCCGCCCAGAAGAAGATCGAGGACGAGAAGCACCGCCACGTCGAGAAGCTCATCATGCGCATCCAGGCCGTCTACCGCGGCCGCGTCGCGCGCGCGGCCGTCGTCGACAAGGGCAAGGGCAAGAAGGGCAAGAAGGGCAAGGGCAAGAAGGGCAAGAAATAAGCTTTATGCGACGACGGGCGGCTCGAGCTGGCCCCGGAGCGCGCCGGCGGCCCGGCGCCGGCCGCCCGCCGTGAGGCCCACGGCCTCGTCCGTGCGGACGAAGTGGCGCTCGTGGAGCCTGTGGGAGAGGTCGAGGTCGTCGACGGCGAGCCAGGCCCGGGGGCGGCGCTCCCGGACGGCCTGGAGGATCTCGGCGGCGCGCTGGTCGGCGAGCCTCGCGAGCTGCCGGTCGAGGCTCGAGGGCTCGCCGGGCCGCGACCGCGCCGCGGCGACGACGGACGTCGCGCCGACGGGCGCCTCGATGCCCGCGGCCTCGAGCTGCTGCGCGAGGAGCCGCGTCATCTTCGCGACCAGGCGCCAGGCCGACGAGAGGATGATGCGCGCGCCCGGCACGGCGTCCATGAGGCCCTTGAGCTCCGCGAGGGCGCCGGCGTCGAGCGCCTGCCGCGACACCGTGGGATCCGACGAGTTGTTGAGCACGCCGTCCACGTCCAGGAAGACGAGGATCTCGTTCTGCGGCGGCTTCATGGGCGCGCGGACGGACCGACACCGCATGGCCGCTGCGCAGCAGAAGGGGCTGCCCAAGATGCACCGTTGGTTCACTAAAACTGCAAGCAGCCCCGCGCTCTGCGGCGCGATGGGCTTCGGCCTCGTCTGCCTCCTCGCGTTTGGCGCCGCGGCGGCCGACGACGTCTGCGAGCCCGGCTCGACGACGTGCGACTCGAATTTCAGCAACGCCGCGGGCGACGGCGTCCGCGCCGCGCGCGCGATCCTGAGCCGCTACGCGAGCCACAAGGAGGCGCTCGCCGACGAGGCGCCGATCGCGCTGACCTCGCCGCCGCCGCCGCCGCCGCCGCCGGCGGCGGCGACGAAGGGCACGCCCGCGGTGACCAAGTACGCGAGCCACGAGGACGCGGTCGCGAACGGCGCGTCCGTGCGCCTCGACACGCGGCCCGTAGGCGCCGCCGCGGAGCCGCCGGCCAAGCCCGCGCCCAAGCCGCCGCCCGCGGCCCCCGAGGCGCCGCTCGAGCCGCCGCCGCCGCGGGCCAAGCCGGCGCCCGCGGAGCCGGACGCGCCGCCCGCCGCCGCGCGGCGGAGAGACGACGCGGCGCCGCCGCCGCCGAAACGCGAGCCGCCGCCGGCGCGAGCGGAGCCGCCGCCGGCGAAGGAAGCGGAGGAGCCACCGAAGCGAACGGAGCCTGCGGCGCGAGCGGAGCCGAAGGAAGCGGAGGAGCCGCCGAAGCGAGGGGAGCCGAAGGAAGCAGAGGAGCCGCCGAAGCGAGGGGAGCCGCCGAAGCGAGCGGAGCCCGTGACAGTGACGAGGCCCGACGCGCCGAAGCAGCGAGACGATTCGCGGCCGCCGGTCGGAAAGAAGCCCGACGCGCCGAAGCAGCGAGAGGAGCCGGCGCGAGTACCACCGGCCACCGCGGAGAAACCGACCGAGCCAAAGACGAAAGAGGCGCCGCCACCGGCCGCCGAAAAGCCGAAGCGACGAGATGAGTCGCCGCACTCAGCTGAGAAGAAGCCGCGAAAAGAGCCGTCGCCGCCGGCCGAAACGAAGCGACGAGACGCATCGCCGCCGCCGGCCGAAACGAAGCAACGAGACGCGTCGCCGCCCTCGGCCGCAGAACAACCGAAACGACGAGACGCGCCGCCGCCGGCCGCCGAAAAAACACCGACGCGGCCGTCGCCGCCGTCGCCGGCGGCCGCGGAACGCGCGAAACCGCGAGACGAGTCGCCCCCGGCCGAAACGGCGCGCGCGCCGCCGCCGGCCGCCGAAGCGCCGAAGCACGACGCATCGCCGCCGCCGGCCGCGTCCGTCTTCGTCGAGGCCGTGCGCGGCTGGCGCGCGGCGGCGGCGCGCGGCGACGTCGACGCCATGTTCTCGCTCGCCTTCGCCTACGACGAGGGCGGCGACGGCGTCGCGGCGGACCCGGGCGAGGCCGCGCGGTGGTCCGCGCGCGCCGAGGCCGCGGCCGCGGCGGCGCTCGACGGCTTCGCGGACGACGGCTCGCCGACGAAGTGGACCTACCGCGCGGACGCGCCCGTCGCCGTCGTCGGCGTCGCCTGCAAGGACGACAAGGTCTTCGTCGGCACGCAGCGGGGCCTCGTCGCCGTCGCCGCGGCGACCGGCGGCGAGCGGTGGGCCGCGCCCGGCGCGTTCTGGAAGTCGCGGCCCCTCCCGTCGGGCGACGGGGCCACCGTCTTCGCCGGCACGCGGTCCGGCGCCTTCGTCGCCCTCGACGCGGCGACGGGCGGCGACCGGTGGCGCCTGGCCGTCGGCGACGTCGACTCGACGGCCGCGGCCTCGCCCGACGGCCGCGCCGTCTACTTCGGCGGCGACGACGGCGCGGTCCGCTGCGTCACGGCCGCCGGCGCCGAGCTCTGGGCCGCGCGCACGGGCGCCTTCGTCGTCGGCCGGCCCGCGGTGAGCCGCGACGGCCGCGCGGTCTACGCGGGCTCCGTCGACTCCCGGGTCTACGCGTTCGCCGCGCGCGACGGCGCGCGGCGCTGGGTCTTCGACACGGGCGGGCCCGTCGAGGGCGGCCCGGCCGTCTCGGCCGACGACGCCGTCGTCTTCGTCGGCTCGCACGACGGCCGCGTCTACGCACTCGACGCGCTCGACGGCTCCGAGCTCTGGCGCTACGACGCGGGCGGCGGGTCCCGGCCCGTCGGCGGCGCGCCGGCGCTCTCGCCGGACGGCGCGCTGCTCTGTGTGCAAATCAAATCTTCAACCCGACTTCAATGTGCGCGTATTCGAATGCTTTGACACGAGCACTCCCGCCGTGCTTCGAGAACTCGCTGAGAGCAATCGATTCGTCCAAAAATCAGCCGAATCGACTTCGATTTGACCGAGCTAGAGAATTTCAAAGTTTGGTCGGGACGTCCCAGCTCACTGGTTGATTTGCACACAGGCGCTCCTCTACGTCGCCGCGCACCGCCGCCTCGTCGCGCTCCGCGCGGCCGACGGCGCCGAGGTCTGGGCCTTCGAGACCGGCGACGTCGTCGAGGGCGACCCCGTCGTCGCCGGGGGCGCCGCCTACGTCGTGTCGCGCGACCACGCGCTCTACAAGGTCGACGCGGCGACGGGCGCCCTGCGCTGGGCCAACGCCGACGCCAAGTGGGCCTCGGCGCCCGCGCTGAGCCCCGGCGGCGACGTCCTCTACGTCGCCAGCCGCGACCGGCGGCTCCACGCGCTCCGCGTCGACCGCCTCGACGCGCGCGCGGACGCCCAGCGCGACGCCGCGGCCCTCGCGCGACGGTTCGTCGAGGCGGAGGCTCACTAACGCGCCCGGGAAGGTGTGAGAATCCTGATTAGGGGCCTACCGCCGGGAGTGGCTCTGGGTTGGCCCGGAGGGAAGTTTCAAGTGAGAAAGGGTGAGACGACGCCGGCGCGCGCGTGTATCTTGAGCTGAAGTGCCTCAGAATTGCCGCACAAACTCGTTGGATGATTTGGCTCACCTCGAGCGAGGCACCAGGCTCCGGCGAGCCTGAGGTCGAATCCCCAAACCCCCGACTCCCGCGGTTCCTCCCGGGCCCCCTACGTTTAGAGACGCGTCAAGCCAAACTTTACGCACGAGCTCATTAAAACGGCCTCCCCGCGGCGTCCGGCGCTCGGCGAGGTCCCGAGACGCGGCCATCGCGGCCAAACCGGTCTAGCCGGCGGCAGGGGGGGTCGGTCGTGAGGGCCTTATGTATTATCGCGCGCGCGCTCTACGGGGAGGGGATTCACAGGTGTCACAGGGAGCGGGGGTTCGGCGCCGAAGCCCGATTCGAAGGCGGCGCCTCAGCCGAAGACGGCGTCCTCGTCGTCGTCGTCCTCGGGCGCGTCGTCCGCCTCGGCTTGGAGTTGGTCGATGATCACCTCGTGGGAGCCGCGGGGCAGCTTGATGGCGACGGTCGACGCGGCCTCGGCCGGCGCGCCGGACTCGCAGACGCGGACGACGTCGAGGCGGCCTTCGACGCCCGCGCGCTTCTTCGCCTCGACGGCGCGGCACATGACGTCCAGCAGCGAGTCGCCGGTGATGGCGTGGACGCTCTGCGTGCGCTTGCCGAAGTCGCAGCCGACGATGGCGCAGTTCTTGTGGATGCAGCCCCTGTCGCCGTCGCGGTGCTCCGCGCGCCAGTGCTTCTCCGCGTCGGCGGTCGAGATGGGCGCGTAGTTGCGCTTGAGCTCCTTGTAGGTCATCTGGCGCGCGCCCGTCGCGGGCCGGACGACGCGGAGGCGCTCCGTGTCGCCCGGCGAGTAGGACGCCACGCGCACGGCGAGGAGCACCTGCTTGAACCTGTGTGGATATCAAAGCTTCAACGCGACTTCAACGCGCGCGTATTCGAAAGGTTCGACGCGAGCTCTTCGGCTCTGCTTCGAGAACTCGACGAGCGCGATCGATTCGTCCAAAACTCAGCCGAATCGACTTCGATTCGGCCGAGCGAGAGCATTTCAAAGTGTGGTCGGGACGTCCCAAACCAGCGGTCGATATCCACGCAGGCTCGCGCTTGAGCTTCGCCTGCTTGTCGCGCGCGAGGTAGAACGAGTTCCGGAACGCGTCGCGCGAGATCGCCGACTTGAGGTCGTTGACGACGCCCCAGTCCTTCCGCTGGGCCGCCTCGCGGCGCTTGAGCGCGTCCGCGAAGGACGCGGCCTCGTCGAGCTCCGCGCGCGCGGCCTCGAAGTCGCAGCCGCGGTCGACGTGGACCTCGACGCGCTCGACGCCGCCGCCGACGTCCGCGCGCGCCGCGACCTTGACGGACGCGCCCTTGAGCGTCCGGATGCCCTCGTCGAGCGCGCCCTCCTCGCGCCGCTTCTCGATGACGTCCTCGGTGAGGCGCGCGAAGAGCTCGAAGAGCAGGTTCTGCTGGCCCAGCGGCATGCCCAGCAGCCGGTTCAGGAAGCGCGCGACGTGGGACGTGCGCGCGCCCGGCTTGTCGAGCTTCGCCCAGCCGTCGACGTCCATGCCGAGGCGGTCGAACCAGAAGCGCGCGGCGACGGGCAGGTCGATGTCGCGGAGCGCGTCGCGCTTCTTCTTCCAGAGGTCCGCGTCGGGGCCCTTGTCCGTCGCGCGGCAGTGGTCGCTCCACTTGCGGCACTCGGCGACGGGCACGTCGCAGACGGCGCAGTAGCACCGCGCGCACGCGCGGCGGTAGGCGCCGAGCTTCCCGAAGGGGTGAAGCGCGCAGTCGTGGCGCTTGTGCGCGAGCTGCGCCGGCGCGGCCGTCATGACGACGTCGTCGTCCTCCTCCTCCTCCGCCTCCTCGGCGCCGTCTTGCTCGCCGCCGTCGTCGTCCTCGAGGAACGACAGCGACACGTGGATGCCGCCGTCCTTCTGCTCCTTCACGCCGCCGTCGATGAGGTCCATGATGCGGTCCTTCTCGCGCCTACCGAACGCGGTCCGTCAACGATTGTTCGTCGTGTTCCCGGTCAAAAACCTCTCGAAACTCGCGACGCCGCCTCGCGCTGGGGCACGGCGGGCAAGGCGAAGGGCGGCGTCTGCACGCCCGCGAGGACGCGGAACATGTCGAGGAGCGCGCGCGAGCCCTCCGGCGAGTCGTAGTTGAACTGCGTCATGCCGAGGCCCGCGGCGCCGACGGTCGCGCGGCGGTCGCCCTGCGTCACGGCGCCCAGCGTCATCAGCCGCTTGGCGACGGCGGACGCGAAGCGCCGCTCGCCGCCGACGCTGGAGATGAGGAACTTGTACTCGGGCGCGGACGCCTGGTTCGACCGGTGCGACCGGCCCAGCTGCTGGATGGCCTTGTCCGCGGACCAGGGCAGCTCCATCGTCACGTGGACGCGGCGCCGCGTGTTGCGGAAGCGCCTACGAAGCGCGACGGTGACGACGTCTCGTCGGTTCCCCGCCCGAAATCTCTCGAACGTCGTCGCGGCCGCGGGACGCCGGGACGCGCTTGTCCGCGTGGAGCGAGATGCCCGCGGACGCGGCCTCGGAGATGATGGCGACGAGCTTCTTGCCGCTGTTGAACTGCTCGCGCTCGTAGAGGTTCGCCTTGTTCCGCGCGCCCTCGCTCACGCGGCGGACCTCGTGGCGCACCTTGTCGCCGTCGCGCACGAGGCCGCCCTGGCGGCCCGTCATCTCCGCGACCTTGTCCGAGCCGCCGAGCTCGTGGATGAGGCGATCCAGGACGGAGTTCGGCAGCCGGAGCGCGTGCGCGGCGTCCTCGAAGGTCCTGCGCAGCTCCAGGTTGAGCTCGAAGTCGACGTTGTCGAGCGCGCCGACCTTGGCCGGCGCCTTGGCGAGGGCCGGCTTGCCCTCCTTGGCCTTGGCGGCCTTGGCCTGGAGGTCGGACTTCTGGGGCTTGCGCTGGTAGGACCGCCGCTGCCACGCCGCGGGCTCGTAGACCTCGACGACCTCGGTCGGGTCGCTGGGCTTGTAGGCGCTGCACCGGCTGCAGAAGTTGCGGAGCGCGTCGTTCTGCGCGCCGCAGGCGGCCTCGCGGCAGGTCCAGCCGCCGCCGTGCGGCGCGACGTCGTCGTCGCCCGTGAGGTCCAGGGGCTTCTCCGCGGAGCAGGGCCCGCGGAAGGGCGCGGGCGCGGCGTCGTCGTCGTCGTCGCTCGAGATGTCGAGGGGCAGCGCGGCGGACCCGCGCTCCGCGGCGGCCGGCGCCGCGGCGGCCGCCGCGGGCGCCGCGCGCGTCGGCTTCGCGGGCGCCGCGCGCGGCTCGGGCTTGACGAAGTCCGCCGACGTGACGTAGCCCTCCGTGCCGTCGCTCATGGCGTCGTCGTCGTCGTCGACGACGACGGCCTCCGGCGCCGGGGACGCCTCCGACGACGCCGGCGACGCGCGGCCGGACGACGTCGCCGAGGCCCGGTCGGACGCCGACGACGCGTCCTCGGCCTTGGGCCGCCGGAGCTTCTTCTTGAGCGACGGCTCCGCGTAGGAGACGACGGGCTTGGCGCGCGTCGCGCGCGTCGGCGGCGCCTCGACGTCGTCGTCGTCGCTGTCGTCGAGGAGGCCCCGCTTCTCGCGCGCCGGGGGCCGCTTCCGCGGCGCCGGCGCGTCGTCGTCGGACGAGCTGTCGTCGAGGAGGCCCTTCGCCTTCCGCGGCGCCGGCTTGGCGCGCGGCGCCTTGGCGGAGCCGTCGGCGAGGCGCGTCTTCTTCGCCGCGGCGGGCTCGCCCTCGGGCGGCGCGCGCTTCTTGGGCTTCTCGTCGCCCGAGCCGTCGTCGCCGGAGTAGTCGTCGTCGTACTCGATGGACCCCGCGGCGCGCGACTTCGTGATCTTGTCGAAGCGCGGGCTGCCCTTAAGGAACTCGACGGTGTAGAAGGGCGCGTCCCACTCGGTCAGGACGCCGACGCGCGTCCTGCCGCCGCAGACGAGGCGCACGCGCGTCTTGCCCAGCTCGACGTTGTCCGCGGCGCGGTCCGCGCGCTTCGCGGCGGACTTGCCGAGGGGCGCGCGGCGCTCGAGCGTGCCCTCCATCTTCGCCGGCAGGGAGAACGCGCGCTTGATGAAGCCGAGGAGCGTCGCGAGCGGCGCGGACACGAAGTCGTCGAACTCGTCGCCGAACTCGGCGCGCGCCGCCGTCGCGCGCGCCTCGCCCGTGCCCAGGAGGCCGATGACGACGCACTTGCCCGCCGCGAGCGCGAGCTTCGTCTGCTGGACGACGGCGGGCACCTTCGTCGCGACGCACAACTCCTTGAAGAAGCGCTGGTGCGCGCCCCAGAACGCCGACCACAGCTTGGCCTCCTTCGTCGGGCCCTCCATGTCGTCGTCGCTGTCGCTGTCGACGCCCTTGAAGTCGCTGCGGAGCTGCTCCGTCTCCGAGAGGAACGTGATCGCGCGGTGGAGCTCGGACCAGAGCTCGGCGGCGTTGTCGAAGATCTGCTCGCTCGACGCCTCCATGACGCCGTCGATGAGCTCGAAGGAGCAGTCCGCGAAGGACAGGCTCCGGGAGAGGAGCGCGCCCTCCTTCTTCAGCGCCATGGCCGTCGCCTCCATCATCGCCGTCGCGTTCGCGCCGCGGACGGCCGCGAGGAAGTCGAGGAAGCTCTCGAAGGGCGCCGTCTGCCCCGTCGGCGCGTCGTCGAGCTCGTCGTCGTCGTCGCCGGCCTCGCGCCTCCAGAGGCCGAGGCGGCAGCAGTAGCCGACGTGGTTCGGCTCCGTCGCCGCCGTCGCGGACGCGTAGACGACGCGCGCCCGGGGCAGGCGCGCCTGGATGTCCTTGACGGCCTGGCCCGTCTTCGTCGGCCGCTTCGGGAGCTGGCCGTTGACGCCCGCCGTCGGGTAGAGGTTCTTCGCGCGGTGCGCCTCGTCGAAGAAGAGGCAGCCGTCGAAGTCCTTGCCGCACCACTTGGCGAGCTGATCCAAGCGCCGCTTGCCGTCGCTGTCCTTGCTGATGAGCAGCGAGTAGGTGACGAAGAGCACGCCCTCCTTGAGCGTCGGCTTCTTCGAGGCCTTCCAGTCGTTCAACGCGCGGACCTCGATCTTCGGCTCGTTCACGTCCTTGAGGTCGCGGCGCGCGTCCTCGACGAGGTCCGCGGAGATGGACACCCAGACGTGCTTCTTGCGGCCGCAGCGCCAGTTGTTGTGGATGATGCCCGCGAGCTGGCGGCCCTTGCCCATGCCCGCGCCGTCCCAGAGCGCGAAGCCCGCGCGCGACCCGTTGGCCAGCGTCTTCTCGTGGCGCATGGCCGCGTAGACGACGGTCTCGAGCTGGAGGCCGCTGAGGAGGCCCTGCTCGACGACCTTCTTGCTGATCTTGATCTCGGCGTTCTCGACGTCGATGTCCGGCGACTCGACGGCGGCGAGCGTCGCGTTCTCGACGACCTTGTCGGGGTGTTCTTTCGCGTCGGGCATGGATTTGAGCAGCTTGTGGGGCACGTAGGTCTGGAACTCGACCTGCTCGATCTCCTCCTCCATGTCCTGCGCCTCCTCGGCGCGCGCCTTCTTCGGCGACGGCTTCTTCCGCGCCGCGACCGCGCCGCCCGCCGCGTCGTCGTCCGCGTCGCTGGCCTCCGCGGCGGCCTCGAGCGCGTCGTCCTCCGCGGCCGCGCCGCCGGGCGAGAATGCCTCCTCTTCGGAGTCGCTCGCCGGGGCGGGCGACGCCGGCGAAACCTCCGGTTTGACGCGCAGCATTTTCGAATGGCGTCGGCTCGGCGAGTGCTGCTAAGCTCGGCGCTGGTCACAGAGTGGTGCTGGCGAGCTGTGGGCGAAGCGGCGGCTCCAGAGTGCGGTACTAGGACCGGCCCCAGGCGCCGTGCGACGAGCCTGCGAATGATCCCGCTCTTCGCGCTCGACCACGGAGAGCGAAATGCTTGGCTTGAAATCGGCACCATTCACCTTGAACTTTAGAGCATTACCAGGGCAGGATGGCATCCAGGGCTGCCACCGCGCGGGCTGCCGCCATGCACCGAATGCGTCCAGGGAAGACGATAACCGCCGCGCGCCGCGCCTTCGCCGCGAAGACCCGCATCGCCGTGCTCCGCACGGGCGACGCGCTCCTCGGCTACGGCGGCATCGCGGACGCTTTGTTCCGGGGCGCGGATGGCGACGTCGATCTGGCGCTCGTGGCCGTCGCGGCGGACGACTCGCCGGGCACGCTCTTCGACGGCGTGAGCGACGACAGCCTCATGGCGGCCGCGGACGCCGTGCTCGAGGGCTACGGCGAGGACGTCGCGCCGACGGCCGAGGACGCGCGCGTCGGCGCGGCGAAGCTCGTCCCGGGCGCCGCGGCGCGCGCGCGCTTCGACAACGTCCAAACGGGGGGCCCGTTGGGGTTCACCGGCTACGACCACACCTTCGCGGCCGGCGGCTGGGGCCCGGCGCGGCTCCTGGCGACCGTCGTCCGCGTCGGCGACGACGGCGCCGTCGACGTGCGGGTCCCGGGCCGCGCGGCCGACAACGGCGACCTCGGCGGGCGCGCGACCCTGGTCGAGGAGGACGCCGACGGCTACGTGGCCCGGCTGCCCGCGGACCGCGTCGACACCTACGCGCGCTTCTACCCGCTGAATCCGCAGGCGCCGCGCCGCGTGCTCCGCCACGCCGTCGCGCTCGTCTGGCCCGAGCCCCTGCCGCTGGAGCGCGTCGAGTTGTCGCGGAAGGGCGGCGTATTCGCGCTCCTGGACGGCGGCGTCGCCCTGTCCGTCGACGGTCGACGCGTCCCGCTCGCGGACCCGACCTACGCCGTCGTGCCCCGCGACAAGCGCTTCGGCGGGTTGGTCTGCTACGCCGTCGGGTTGTCGACGCTCGTGGGCTCGATCATGGCCGCGCACCCGAACGTCGGCGGCAGCCCGCTGTTCCTCGTCGGCGCGCTGCCGGCCGTGGCGTCGATGTGGGCGGGCGGCAATTGGACAAGTGTCTGGCGCGCGCTGCCGGCCGCGTACGGCGGGCCCGACCGGCCGCCGTTGTCGCGGATGAAGTAAACCGCAGTCCTACGGCTGTTTGTTGCGTCGTGGCGTCGCCTTTCTCTCTCTAGCGCATTAGGCGACACACCCCGCCTACGCGCCTACCTTGGGCGGGCACGGGCACTGGGGGGCCCACTAAAGCCGCAAGTAAAGCCGCACCTTTGCAGGATCAACATGCCGACATGCATGGCTGCAAGGTCGGCGCGCACGTGCACAGCCGCGAGCTCCGGCGGCTGTGTCTCGATCAAGGGAGCCCAGCGGCGCCGCCGAGAAGTTCGCGCCGGCCCACACACACACACAGTTGGCCGCCGAGAAGCCCGCCGTCACACACACATGCGCGCCCTCCTGGTGGTCGCCCTCGGCGTCGTCGCCGCGAACGTCGACGACCGCATCGGGGACATCCTGGACCGGCGCCTGTCGTCGCCGCAGGACCTCTGCCCGTCGTCCGCGCACGGCGGGTCCTTCATCGGCCTCGTCGTCGACGACGTCTACACGGTCCGGGCTCCCCAGGACGGGTCGCCGGAGCGCTGGGAGCTCGTCGACGAGACGACGGTCACGGAGGACAAGCGCGTCGCCAACAGCTTCTGCGGCGTCTACCTCCAGGTGCTGCCCGACGACGGCGACGACTACAACTCCGTCTTCGGCCCGAAATCGTTCGTCTGGACGGCCGTCGAGTTCAAGCTGCGCGTGCCGGAGAAGGGCACCTACACGCTCTTCGCGCGCTGGTCCGGCGGCGACGTCGTCGGCGGCGGCGACAGCTTCTACGTGCTCGTCGCCGACGCCGCGGGCAACGTCGTCGAGGGCGCGCCGACGTGGAAGGAGAAGAAGGTGCCCATCGACGAGACGCCCGGCGCCTTCAGCGGCTGCTGCTACGACACGTCGACGCACGCGTGCCCGTGCTCGACGGAGCTCGAGGTCGACGGCAAGCAGGCGTGCGAGGACAGTGAGGGCTACTGGGTCGCGACGGCCGACGCGGCCAAGTGGGGCGCGACGTGCGTCGCCGGCGAGGGCCTCATGGAGCCCATGGCGCCGCTCTGGTACGAGTTCGCGGGGCAGGAGTACGGCAACGTCATGGACTTTGACTCGGAGCCGTGGGACGCGACATGCGAGGCGCAGGGCACGGGCACGGCGGACAGCGGCCGCGACGAGGCGACCTGGGAGCTCGAGGCGGGGACCTACACGATGAAGTTCTACCCGCGCGAGGACCAGGGCAGGACAAGAGAGCGAAATTCCCAACTTCAAAGGCTCATATCTCGGCCGTTTTCCACTCGTTTCGGCTGATTTTTGGACGAGCGATCATCTCTCGGAACGGTCTCGACGCGTGGATGCTTTTTCCGGCACGCGCGCGCGCGGAACACTCACGTTGAAGCGACGTTGAATCACCCTTGTCCTGCCCAGGCGAGGACGGCACGGCGCTGGACGCCATCTACGTCGCGCCGTTCGGCGCGTCGCCGCCCGAGGGGCTCGTGCTCGCGGAGGGCCAGTCGTCGACGTGCCCCAAGTCCGCCTCCTCGTCGTCGTCCTCCTCCTCCGGCGGCGCGCGCGCCTGGTCCGTCCTCGGCTCCGTCGTCCTCGTCGTCGCGCTCGTCGTCCTCGTCGGCCTCGTGGTGTCGCACCCGAGGGTCCGCGCGAAGTTCGTCGGCTTGGTGAACCGCGCGCCCGCGGAAACGCCGGGCTCGCCGACCTACTTCGAGATGAGCACGGACGGCGGCGGCGAGCGCGGCGAGGCCTTCATCGTCCAGGACGCCGGCGTCGTCTGACGGCGGCGGCGCGCCTCCCCTGTGTCCCCCCCCCTCGTCCGTAGCACGCTGTGGCCCCCGCCGCGTGCGAGACCGCGTCCCTTTACCCGACGCGCGCGCGGCCGCCCGCCGCCGCGCGCCGTCCGCGCGCGGCGCTCAGAAGTAGGGGAAGCCCTTGCCCGTGAGGACGGCCTGGGTGACGACGCCGGAGAAGGCAAACATGGCGAGGCGGCAGTGGGTGATCTCCTTGAGCTTCATGTCGGCCTTCTTCTCGGGCGTCGAGCAGAAGTCGAGCGGGTCGAGCCCGTAGTCCCCCGGCTCGCGCGGGGAGCCCATCCACATCATCTGGGCGACGCCGGCGGAGAGGATGACCTCCGTGAAGGAGAGCCAGAGGAAGAGCTGCTGCATGGCGCCGTACTTGCACGCGACGTCGTGCGCGAGCACGGAGGACACCTGGTGCATGTCGCCGGGGAGCGTGAAGCCGAGGTCCGTCGCGACGAAGCCCGTCCACGCGAGCATGCAGATGCGGCCGTGCTTGATCTCCGCCTCGCGCCTGGGGGTTCGGCGCGTGAATTTCGAGCGCGCGGCGCGCGGAAAAGCGGTCCGAGGAGCGCGGGCCGGCGACGTCGCGCGCGCGCGTCCCCGCGCGGCGCGACGTCCCCAGCGTCGGGCGCCGCGGCTTGTTGCGAAGACGCGGGCGCGGCACAGCCACTTGACGTCGAAGATCGACGTGAAGCCAAACGGATCGAAGCCGACGTCGCCGGCGTAGGTGCCGTCGAGCGCCTCGGGCTTCTCCATGAAGGGAAGCGCCTCGGACGCCTGGTAGTTCATCGCCACGGCGCTCTTGGCAGCCGGGACGGGAGCGACGAGCGCCGAGGCGCTCGCGGCGAGCGAGATCAGCACCAGACTGCGGGCCATATTGCACGATCCGGGGCTCAAGCTGTGCCAAGGCCTGAGATCCGCCGGCGCGCTGCCGGGGGTCTTTGCCCGGCTCGACGCGATGGAGGACGCATCGCCGGCCATGCATCCCGAACGGAGCGCCCGCTTCAGTCTCGCGGAGCCACACGGACCAGCCCTGCGCGCCGGTCAGGCTCGCACCTTAGCGCGTCGGTCGCGCCGCGAGACCTGTCGGGAGCAAGACCCCCGGCCACTCAGCCTCAGGGAGAGCCAAGCCAAGGCCTGCGGCGACAATGAGCTGCGAGAGGTCGCGCTGAGCGTCTCGAGCAACCGTCCACCGCAGCACCGCACCAGCCGCAGCCATGCCGAACCAGGCCAAGAAAGCGAAGAAGCCCGCGAAGAAGCAGAAGAAGCTCGCGATCATCCCCGGCGGCAGCGACGCCGAGTGCCGCGAGGCGCTGGCGGCGCGGCTCGCGGCGCACATCGCCGAGGCCGAGCCCGTCGCCGAGCACGCGTCGCGCGCGGACGGCGCGCTGCTGGCGCTCGAGGCGCGCGAGGAGGCCGAGGCCGCGCGGCGCGCGGAGCTCCGCGAGCGCGGCGTCGACGACGACGGCTGGGAGGTCGTGACGTACAAGAAGAAGGCCGTCAACGCGGAGCCCAAGGCGCCCAAGGAGCAGCGGAAGAAGCGCGCCCGCGACGCGAAGCGCGTCGAGGACGCCGACTTCTACCGCTTCCAGGTCAAGCGCCAGCGCCTCGCGGAGATGCGCGGCGAGCTCGACGGCAAGCGCGACGCGCGGCGGTCCAAGGCGCCGAAGCGCAAGGGGTTCGAGGCCTAAGGGGGGTTTTGTGTGTCGTATGGTGCTGCTCCGTCGTAGAGGACGCTACTGGGAGCGCGGTCGTCGTGCTGGTAGTCGCAGCGAGGCCATCGGCGCGACGACGTCGCACTAGGGCGTCGTTAACATCCGCGGCGCGCGCGGCGCGCGGACGTCCGTCGTCGCGCGCGGGGGCGAGGCCGCCGCGACCTTCGCGGGCGTCGTCGCGGGCGCTCGCTCGTCCGCGGGCCGCGCGAGGACGGCGATGGCCTCCTGCAAATCCGCCTCGGTAAATCCGCGCTTCGGGTCCGTCTGGACGAAGCGGTCCGCGAGGTGCTTGCCGCCGAGCTCGCGGTGCAGGTCGCGGTCGTCGACGACGACGAAGCGCCCGCAGTGCTCGGCCGCGTGGGCCCTGAGCCACTGGAGGATCTCCGCGGGTCGCGCGAAGGCCCGGTCGCGCGCGAGCGGCGTCCAGCCGACCATGGCCACGCCCAGGCGCTCGAGGCGTTTCTGCACGTAGGCTCGCGCGTCGGGCTGCGCGCGCCAGTCGCTCGAGAGCACGACGACGGCGCGCGGCGCCGCCGAGGCCGCGAGCGCCTGCACGCGGCGCAGGAGCCGCCCCTCGATGCGGTCCGCGTAGTCGTCGTCGTCGTCGCTCGCCTGGGACGCGTTGTCCCCGTCGCTCGCGACGTCGCCGTCGCTCGCCTGGGACGCGTCGTCGCCGTCGCTCGCGTCGTCGCCGTCGCTCTCGTCCGCCGCGCCGATTCGATTGACGACGCCGTCGACGTCGAGGAAGATGATCGGCGGCGCCGAGATGCTCAGGCCCGCGAGCGACAGCGCCGGCGCCCGCGGCCGCCGGCGCGCGAGCACGCGCCAGAGGCTGTAGCCGTCCTGGACGCCCACGAACTCGAGCACGAGCCGCCGCAGCACGCCGTCGAGGCGCTGGAGCACCATTGTTGCGTCGCGGCGCGGTGTGCTTGACTCTCGGCGCGATATGCTTCGGCGCTTGAGGCGCGCAGATCAACCGAGCGCGCGCCGCATCGCAACCGATACTTGAGTGCAAGAGTCAACGGTGAAGTTAATAAAGAACCCTCACTAAAAGTAAAGCAGTTAATTTTGACCCCTCGAGCTATGGGAGCTATTGGCACTTTTTTTTTGACTTTTTTTTTTGGAGGCTCCTACGCGCCCCGGGGGACCCCCGGGGCACCAGGGGGTGGGGAAGGGCGCTGCGACGCGGCGGGTTGTCGAGGAACTCGCTTTAGCGCGCGTGCGACGGCCGCGTGTCGCCCCCGCGGGGGACCGCGCGGCCCATTAAGACGGTGGG